TGGAGTAAATGAAAAGCAACTAATAAGTGATGAGTTTATAGTACGTCTGACAAAGTAAATGTACATTACAATCAAGATACTCTGCTGCGTTGCAGTAAATTGCAATAACGAAATAAAAAAATGTAATAATTATTAATTTCTAACTTTATTGTTGAGCAAACTTGGGGTTACATTACCCACTTAGCTGGAACCAAGATGGCGGATAGGAATACCTACCTCTATAGTGCCTTAGTCTACTCGCATCAATGGTCACTGGGCATTTCTGTTTTGCGCATGGCAAATTGACTTATTGACAAACGTCAGCTGCGTCAGCAAAGCACAGCAACGTCAAATGATTATGTGCAATTAATACTCTTTGCCACGTTCACAGCGGCCGGAACACAATGATCCGGCTGATGTTTGGTTTCTTGATTGGCGTCTTCGTGACAGCGAGTTTCGTGGACACGTATAGATATAACGGTATCGTAACATTTTCGAATAATTTTATATTTTCACATTTGCTTTTCTAACCTATATTTTTTCTATGACTTTTCTTATCACTGTGTACGTTCTTGGGAAATCTTGTTCCAAAAATAAATCTTTTGTGATAAGAACAGAATCAATTATAAACTTTGAATTCGAAATTTGAGCTACATCTTTATTTCAACAAGAAATGTTCACTCGATACCAATAAAGTGATCTTTTTTACTTGAGTTAAAATATCAATTTGTTAAGCTATGTAGCTTTTTACTTTTTAAAAATTATACTTTTATTTATCTTTTATAAGCAATAAGCTGAATTAGTTTCTATATTATAAACACTTTGTTACGATCATCTTTCAGATTATGATGTACAGCAACGGAATGAAAATGCTATGCAAAAATTGCTGCATATATTAGATAACGACTACAACAAGGAGAAACGTAGGAATATTAAAGATGAGTTTGACGGTTGGAGCGGGCGTTGGATGCCCGAAAGGCCGAGCGATCCGAAACCACCGCCGAAAGTATTGCCAAAGAATCAGCCACGATATGAATACGAATCTGTAACAGAGTTACCTCACGAGGTGCACTGGCCTGGACGTTGGATGCCTGAGAGACCAGGCGATCCAAGACCACCGCCGAAAGTGCTGCCAAAGAATCAGCTACAACACGTATACGAACCCATAACAGAGCCGTCTCACGAGATGCAATGGCCTGGACGTTGGATGCCTGAGAGACCAGGCGATCCAAGACCACCGCCGAAAGTGCTGCCAAAGAATCAGCTACAACACGTATACGAACCCGTAACAGAGCCGTCTCACGAGATGCAATGGCCTGGACGTTGGATGCCTGAGAGGCCAGGTGATCCAAAACCACCGCCCAAAGTGATGCCGAAGAATGAACAACACTACGAATATGAATCTATAACAGAATTTCCTCGAGAGATGTACATGGGCCATGTATCACCGGAATGTGACGATGCTAAGGTTGCTACAGTTTTCATTCGCATGAATTATCTTAATTGAAAAGCGTGCTTAAATCAGGGTGGGTACTATCGGGAAAAACCTGGAATTCTTAGAAAATTTCATTTTTGCCTGTGAAAATCATGGATTCACATGGAATTTTACTGCTACTCGGAGAAGTTTTTTAAATTTTTGAAATGTAATTTTATCCCCCTTTAAAAAGTAAACGTGGCCCCATATCGAAGGTTCCTGGTATTGAAAGTTAATTATTTAGTTATTTTAAAATTGACATATACTATATGAAGACTCTTCAATCCAAAAAAATGATAATCCGGAAATAATAAATCAGGCATTAAGAGTCTAATAACGTTGAACTTGGTGCGTGAAACAATTTAATCTTCATACATGTAGTTACATCTCCATACAAAATCTTTCGTTACGTTCGAAAAATTTTGTATGGAGATGTAATTATTGTACATATGAGAAGATTAAATTGTTTCGCGCATCAAGTTCTATACGTTATTAGAACTCTTAGCGCCTAATTTATTTTAAAGCTGTATTGAGAAGTTCTCTAATCTCACCTGGAATTTTGAATAAAATTCCTGGAAAATCCGTGAATTTTCAGGGAATTCCTTTACAAAATTTGAGTACCCATCCTGATTAAATATGCTCTAACGAAATATGTAACAAATATTTTAATAGTAATAAAATTTTAGACCAACTTGACTATCGATTGGGATCATAATCCATCGGAATATACATGTTACGGTCATAATATCGTACCAAGTAAAATTGCAGCACGAATGTATTGTGAGACTATCCCGAAAGCGTATAAGGTAAAAATATGTTGTAGTATTGAAATTATTAAATATTGGCATTTACTAGCACAAATTTTAGTTGGAGTATTTTTTCAGGCTGTTCACAAGTGTATGGACCATAGAATTGAATATGACGTCGATATTCCTCTCTAGTAAGTATATATGATATTCTGGTAAAACTGTCTTCTTTGTCTTTATTCTTGTTATAAACTATTCTTAACAATATTTATGTACACTTCGCAGTGGTCCGCATAGACCTTTGTGGCCAGTTTACGGAGAATACAAATACTTGCCCAAACAGAGATGGCTGCATAGTCTCGAGGTAATAATAATAATAGTAACATAATGTATTGCCTGATAAGTTTGATATAAAAATCATTTATATTCATTATCCTATTTGTTAATAGCATGGCGCGATTGTCATGTTGTATCACCCATGTGCAAATCCACTGGAAGTAGAACGTTTGAAAAATCTTGTTAGCAAATGTCTCTGGCGACATATCATCACACCATACAATTATCTGGAGGAAGAACGAGTAAGTATAGAACATATTGATCTTTAACCACCATCGTAGATGCTTCATCGCATCGTGGCTGCATTCGGTTTGGCGCTTACAGCATTTGCAAGCGTCATTTGTCCTTTAACATTTTTTTTTAAACAAGGATAAAATGATGCTGCGAACGCTATAAGCAAAGCGAACGCAGCCTAATAATACTCGTCGAGTCTGATGGACCTGATAGTTGAAAAGCTTGTTGCAATAATGGGCTAACCCACAACATAGCCGAATATGTGATATTGGAAATGTGATACTAGAAATAATTGTATATTCCCTTTGCTTTAACTTCAAAATTCATTTTCTCCGTTTTTACAAAAGATATGTTTTTATGAAGATTTTTATTGAAATTTTTATGAAATGTACAATGGATTTAGCCCTGTTTCAATTAAAAAGGCCTTCTTCAAGTAGTTATTTTGATTTTGTATTTTTTTTTTGTTAAATGGACACGTTTTATGAAAATATAGAATAAAAAAACATGAAATTTTTATTTAAATCTTTATATATACACATTTCTTTCTTCTCATTTATTAAAAAATCAATCTAAAGATATCCCTATATTACCATTGCCGTGCCTATTGAGACACGACGATGGTTATTTGACATGCAATTTTTTCAAATTTTTATATATATGTACATATACATACATATATGTATATATGTATGTGTACATAAATTGCCACAAGTTCGGGCCCACCTAAATAATTTCTGAATGGTTAGAGGTATTGGATTGAAATTTACAGGGTTACAATGGCATCATGAAATCTATCATTTAACATTGAAAACAACCACTTCAATCTTCTAGGGGGAGGGGAGCAGGGGAAAAGGATCGAAAATCTTAAATAGCATGTGGGGTCGAGTGAGGACTTGTTCGAAAGAGCTTTTTGAGACGAGAAGAACTCGAGATGCGTCGTCCTCAACTTGGATCCTCGCTAGCGCTAATTAACACCAATGTTCA